TTTTATAATTATTTTATATTATGTTTGGTGTTAAGTAAATATAAAAGTGTAAAGCTGTATTTAAACCTCATAATGTGATATCAGAGAGTGAAATTGAAGAAAGTTTGGTGTCATCAACGGGTATGGTTATAGGATCAAGACCACCAACCTGTTTTTTGAGGTGTGAGAAGTGCACACCGTGCAAACCAATCGTTGTACCATTGCCACCTGTTCTGACGCAATCCGAGCACAGCGAACCTAAACCTGAGGTCTGGAAATGCACGTGTGACGGCAAGCTCTACAACTTATAGATTCATTATTGTGTATTCATACTCATACCCAATTTGCATTTTACATGAAATAAGTGATAAATGTGTGTAATAAGACTATAATTATTCTTTGCTTGGATTTTTATTTTGCGCTTCCATCGCTTGTTTCTTCTTATGTCTTATGAATTCTTTTGGCTCCAATGGGGATTTATTTCTTTGCTTAGGAGTAAACCATTCTAAAGTGTATTATCAAATGATAAAAGTAGCACATTATTAGTTTGCAAGTTCTAAAAGACAAAATCTAAGAAGACTGTTTGCTGTGTGTTCTACGTTGTACGTATCTTTCTATATATTTTATGAAAAAGAGAGACAATCATGCAAGCCTTTTACATAAGCTAAGACATCGTACTGAATGAGAAACAAAATAGGAACATACATAAAAGGAACATGCGTGGTTTAAAGAACGAAAAAATCCACATGTCTCCGTCATGATTACATGGTGGTAGCCACAAGTGCAAGCCCTAGTCCAAGTGGCACTAACTTTTCGTAGATAATGATTCATCTTTTTCAGCTTTAGGTGACTTTGATGCGTCAGTTGAAGATTCTAGAGCCAATGAGGGAGGCTTTGCATGTGCCACAGTAAAAATGTCCAAAGGAAGAAATATTGTCCTATATTCTAATAATTTTTTTAATTATTCATTCTATTAATATAAATAACTATATTCAATTAAATTAATTAAAATCTTAAGAAAAAAAAAGTATTTAATTTATTCTTATTCTAATAAGCTTTCCAATTATTCATTCTATTAACGTAAATAATTGTATTCAATTAAATTAATTAAAATCTTAAAAAATTAAAAAATTATTTAATTTTTTCTTATTCTTATAAACTTCCAATTATTCATTCTATTAATATTATTAACTATATTCAATTAAATTAATTAAAATCTTAAAAAAATAAAAAGTATTTAATCTAATCTTATTTCAATAAGTTTTCCATTTATTCATTCTATTAATATAGATAAATATATTCAATTAAATTAATTAAAACTGAAAAAATATAAAAAAAATATTTAATTTTTTCTTATTCTAATAAATTTTCTAATTAATCATTCTATTAATCTAAATAAATATATTCAATTAAATTAATTAAAATCCTATAAAAATAAAAAAATTTATTTAATTACTCTTGGTAAATCTATCTACATTTCTTATTTTATCATTTAATCTCTCTTTCTTTATAAACAAAAAAAGTTAATTTTTTAATTTCTAATTAAAAAGATTTTCCTTTCCTGTATTGAAGAGTTTTTAATTTGAGATATTGGTTATATAACACAACCTTTGAATTATTTGGAGGAATATATGATAATGTGTCATTGTTGATGGAGAGGAAGGGAAACATGGTTATCTCGGTGAACAAAACTGGTATTTGTCGCAATGTCTTCTTCTTGTTTTTGTTCTGCACTGTGATCTTCTGCAGTAGTGCTGCTTTTACCAAAGATATGAAATTTCTTTCACACATACTCATTAGTATTACTTAAACTTAGTGAAGTTGGAGAAAGTTTGGTGTCATCAACGACTGAGGCTAAGAGGCTTTTAAAAGGTTTGCCACATCCACCAAAAACAATCGTGTTTTTTAATCCAAAAATGAAAAGATATTCCAAAAACATATTCAATATTATTTAATCATAAAATATAACATAAAAATAAAATTTACAGAATATATAAATATAAAATATTAACAAAAAACTATATAAAATATTAACCAAAATAAATTAAATATACTAACATAATATTTCATACATATATTTTTTAAACAAATTTAATACTATAAATAAATATCAAAAATACTAAATAATAAATAATATAAAGAAATACAATTTATAAATTTTAAACAAATTTAATTAAATATAATAAAAGAAAATAAAGTAATAAAAGAAACCCTAAAAAAACAAGCGGCGCAGCTCCAAGTGCGGCCACCGTAAACCGCAGGTCAAAGTGCGGCTAGCCTCATTCGCAGTTCCAAGTGCAGCTGCACCCAAAAGTGTCGAACACCAACCGCAGGTCCAACTGCAGCGACCCGTCAACCGCAGCTTCAAGTGCGGTTCTCATCCCTCTCAACCGCACTTCCATGTGCGGCAGCCATAGTTCCATGTGCGGCGGTGCCTGATCCGCAATTCCAAGTGCGGTTAAGGCCCCCAGAGATCACAGAGAAATAAAAATGAAAAAAAAAAAACGGATTTTATCACACTCAATGCATGACCTTAAGGAAATTTACCCTTGAAGTTAACTCTCTGAGAAGAAGAAAATCTACACTGTTACACCTAAAGAACTTAAAAACAAATGAAGTTGATGATGAGGGAGGAGGAGAGGAGTGCGGGAGGAAAAAAAATATGAGCTTGAAATGAAATACGACAAGAAAGAGGAAGGGGTGTAGGGTTTACAAAATAATCTGAAATGCGATAAGGTTGAACTCAATTAGGAAGGAATGTAGGACTATTGCTTCAATTTAATCATTAAATGGGTCAACCACTTTAAAATAAATTGTTCTTTCTGAGAAGGGTAGAATTGTAAATAAAAAAAGAAAGAAGTTCATAGTTTTATGAAAGAGGAAACTCGGAAGTTTTTTACCCAATTGTTCTCGTAGATAATTGTGAGGGGCGATGGGGCTATTTCTCTTAAAAGAAGTTGGATTAACTTTGAAATAAAAGTTTCCCAATATAAATTGCTTAATTACTCTATTAGTTTCAATTTAATTTTCACTTTTAAAAAAGTTCAATTAGATTTAATTTTTGAAAAATTACTTTATCCAGATCTTTTTAAAAAAATATATATATTAAAGAATTGATGACATGCCATATGTTAATTTTTTATTTTTTTAAAAAAATTTATTGTCACATATTAAGTATCTTGTATAACATGTAACAGTGCTGAGTGTCACTATTTTGATTTTAATATTCTTCATTCAATTTAGTTTCAAAATAGAATTCTTTCTGTTTAAATTAAGATTAGATTAATTGTTGGTAGAGTATTATACAAATATTTTTATTAAAAATATTTTTTAATTATATTATTATATATTATTAATTTATTTTTTATAAGATTAAAACTAATTAAGTACTTTTAAAAAAGTATTTAAAATTAATATATTATTAATCCATATTTTTTATAAGAATGAATTAATTAATATCATTTATATAAATATAAATCTAATCTTTTTAATGAATTATTTATACAAATAATAAATTTAAGAAGGACAATATTGTTTTATTTTAAAAAATGAAATTAAATTGAATAAAAAAAATATAAAGAGAATAAGTTGAAATCAAGACATTAAATATCAAGAATCTAGCACATGACAACAAAATATTTTACAAAACAAAAATTAAAATTAAAAAAAAAAACAAAAAATACCTGACATAGAGTTAATATTGTAGTAGTGAATTTATTTTAAGGCAGTTTTTCAAAATTTATGACTTGAAACTTTTAAAAAGAAACTGAAACTTTTCTCCATGACTAATTAAGTCTTGGTGTATATGTAGAACATGTAATCACTATTTCCCTTACGAAACATTTTTGGCTTGTCTGGATACATCTCCAAGCTAGAAACCAAGTTATTCGAATATTAATAAATCCTTCACGAATCTTTTATCACAATTATTGATAATAACAGTACTCACCAATTTCTTCCTTGGTAGAAGACCACAATCAGAACGAGACCGCTATGAGATTCCCTGTCCAAAGTTTAGTCAGTTACATACAGATAAAGTTTCTCTAAAATCTGGAGAACACTTTTGTATCAAATAAAACAATTGCATAGCTTTGATATCTGTATACCCTTAATCTTCATCATCCTTGCCCACTATGTATAGAATATACATTACTTCATATGTGACTTCCAACCCAAATAATATGCATTATGTACAAATGTAGAGTTTTAGGAGCGTAACTTCCACAACATACCAGACCCATTTTATGTTTCATTTGCGTCTGTTTCTATTGCTTGAACTGTTTGATCAAGCAGTCTTTCTTTCACCCAATATATCCTCACAGAAAAAAGAAAACACTCTTTAATTACAATGGCCTAAAAAATCCTATTTATGATTTCGATGGCAGATTGGTGTGGCATTCGATCATTAAAATGCATTATGCCTAATACATCAGTAGATAGTTGATGCAAAACCCCAATATCCTTTTCTAGCTTACAAATGTGTGTATGTTCACAAATCACAATTTTAAGTTTGAAAACAAAGCCTTCCCACCTACCTATCACGGTCTCCCACTCCCACTCTCGCTCTATAAAAGCCATCTCCACCATATCATCAATGCATCAAGTTCTCATTCCCAATAAAAATCCTACCACTTGTATTCTTTTCCTCTAATATACCATTATACCCTTCAATCCCCAAAACTAAAACCATGATGAAAAAGCAACCTGTTTTCTCCTTTCAAATAGTACTTCTACTTTCCATTTTGTATTCCACCACTACTTTAGCTCAATTATCACCAGCTTCTGCCCCTCTTAAACCAGTTCAAGCAACCCCTACCCCACCAGCTGAGGCTCCTAGACAGCCATTGGTTCCCTCATTGCCACAGTCACCAAGTGATGCCACTCCCGACACTCCAGCTGTTGACATTGTTGGAATCCTGAGGCAGGCCAAGTCATTCAACATCCTTATCCGTCTCATGAAAACCACCCAATTGATCAACCAACTCAATGCACAGCTCCTCACCACTAAGTCAGGTGGCATCACCATTCTTGCACCTGATGACAGTTCTTTCTCTCAACTCAAATCAGGCTTCCTCAACTCTCTTTCTGATGGCCAAAAGCTCGAGCTCTTGCAGTTCCACGTTCTTTCTGACTATGTTTCTAGCTCCAACTTTGATACTTTAACCAACCCTGTGAGAACACTTGCAGGAGCTAAACCTGGAAAGGTGGAACTGAATGTGATAAGTTATGGAGGTAGTGTGAACATCTCAACGGGTGAGGTTAATACCACCATCACTGGCATTGTATATACAGATAAGCATCTTGCTATTTACAAGGTAGGGAAGGTGCTTCTTCCTATGGACTTCTTTGTTGTTGCTAAAGCACCTGCAAAGGCACCCTCTTTGGCACCAGAATCTTCGGAAAAGGCTCCTAAAGCGGATAAGGAGAAGTCACTGTCTCCGGATTCCTCAGAATCATCTGAGATTAATTCCACCAATGATACCTCTGGCACTGTGAAAATCAATGTGTATGGAAAGTGGCTGTCCCATGTTCTTGGACTTGTTCTCCTGATTGCATTGTTATCATAAACCAATTAGGTTTTGCGGAATTTACCAGATTTATATGTAGTATATCTTTCATGATGAAGAATGTAATGTTTTGTGATTGCGAGAAAGGAGTGAATGTGGAGAGTTTATCAGAGTGATTTTTTCCTCTATTAATTTAAGTTTTGTGCCTTTAGTTTATTGTTTATTAAATAATGGTTACAAGCTTTCTCATGTATTTTGAAGAAGAAACTAACAAAATCTTTGTCCCAACTTAAGCCTCCAATTTTTGTTAAACATTGGATTTGCATATTAAAGCTAATTTTCCCTTTAATCAACACACATGTCAAAATCAACAATGTCTAATTTTCTTTCTTTACAGGGAAGGATTTATGTCCTCCTTTAAGAAAACCAACAATGTAAACTTTACACGAATCTTGGAAGGAGAAAATTTATTTGCACTGTGGAGAAATAAGTTCAATGATAGTGTGAATTCTTATTTATCTTTACTTCAGTTGTCTTGCAACAGTGTTGCTTAGCTTTGAGAGTAAAAGTACTTTTGAGTTTCCAAAGTCCAAACACGCACAGTAGGAAATCTAAGGTGAAAAAATACCAGGTAGATTTTCACCAATGAAACTTCACACCACACATAACTCGGATCCTTCTAACTTGTATAGTGTGAGATTTCACATTCACACTTAAACACATTTATGATATTATGTTTACGGCGCGACATTGGTTAGAGAACTGAATTTTCAATCCCAACATAAACTTAACCTATAACACAAAGGAAAATTAAACATTAAACCGAAATATATGAATGTTTGCAACATATTTTTCTATTTTGACGAGGCTTCAAGCTCTGTTCCAAGCAATGTAGACCAAAGTACATGATTTACTCTTTTAGATTTTTATATCATACAGTGAAAGAGAGAGTGGCAGATCTCACCATCTCACCTAATACAAGTTCTCTGCACAATCAAACACCTGTCAGTGATCAAGACATGAGTATCGATTTTTATTGATGTAAATGTTAACTAGTACACTGTCGCCATGGTGCTTTCAGGTGAGATTTTCATAGATCCATCCATGCATCCAAATCCAACTGATGTATGATGACAACCTATGAATTATGACGTGAAAGTAAAATAGTTGCAGATGTTCACATACCAGCCAATACTTCTTTTCTTCCACTTCTCAATTTCAACTCGGTTCTCCTCGGTCTCTCACCACCAATCCTGCTTGATGCACCAACTTTCTATGATAGGTAACTGAAAATTGTTTACAGAGCAAAGGTTAACCTTTCTGTGTTAGAAAAATGAGATTTTTACTTTCTAGAAAGTGGTGATACTAACAAAAATATTGATGATGACAGTGGTATTCCGGTGGAGGCTTCTGGTGGTTGCATGAACTTCAACAGCGTACTTGTAAAGTGAATGTCGTTTGTTGTTGGGGTTGCTTTCATGGTGGAGCCATGACTTGACATGATATGCATGTCGAGGGCAAGAAGAAAATGATGGTCTATTTATATTTATCTTGTAGTGTATGTGGTTTTGTATGCATTTTGGATCAATTATATATGAATAGTTTTTTCTTTGAATACTCTATTGCATAAGAGTTAAGACCATAATTTCTTTTCATCTATTTTTTCACTGGTAAGCATTAGTTAAAAAATTAAAATGATTATTGAAAAAATATTAGAGAACACATTAAAGAGTATTAAAGAGGACACTTTTATACAGTCCAATTTATTTTTTTTTAATTTTCTTTACAGGTGCTTAAGCACAGTTATTATTAAATTCTTTATTTAGTACCTTTTACTTTGAATATTTAGTGCAATATTACAAAGAGAAACGATACAATATAGTTTATCTAGATTTGTTATGAATAATTTGTTTTATTAAAATCTCAAATTCTCATTGAGGTTCTTGAGTTTCTACTGGGGTTCCTATTATTTTAAAACAATCAATAATTAATTAATATAAACTTGAATACAAAAGATTAATTGTTATGTGTGTGACAGAGTTACTTGGTAAGTTTTCCAATAACGATCCATGACAGTTGGGATATCCCTCCACAGCTATCAAATTTCACCAACCTATCATTTCCTTACCCTCTGATCTCTGCTTTATATAACCCTCTCCTTCACACATTCCAAATATCAGACACAGATTGCAAGAATCATTAATTCAAATCATTCACATTCTCCCAGACTCATCAAAGCTCATCCACAGGCTCTAGCTGGCAACTGAAAGATGAAACAAGCAACCTTTTTCTCCTTATCAGTGTTCCTACTCTTTTGGTCGACCACCTTGGCCATTTCACCAGCACCTGCAGCAGCTCCAAAAGCCCCAGCAGCAAAAACTCCCCATACCCCAAAGGCTGCAGCACCATCACCAAAACCATTAGTCCCCACATTACCTCAGTCTCCAGACTCTCCTGACTCTGTCCCTGATGACATCACCAGAATCCTCAAAAAGGCCAAAATGTTCTCAACCCTCATTCGCCTCCTCAAAACCACAGAAATCATCAACAACGTCAACTCACAGCTCATAACAGCCAAGACTGGGGGCATAACCATTCTAGCACCAGACGATTCTGCCTTTTCAAACCTCAAAGCTGGCTTCCTCAACTCCCTCAACCAAGGCCAGAAAATCGAACTTGTCCAGTTCCACATATTGCCACAGTTTGTCTCCAGCTCAAACTTTGATTCTCTTAGCAACCCTGTGCAGACAGTGGCTGGTAAAGACCCTGTAAGGCTTCCACTGAACGTGAATGCATTAGGTAACAGTGTCAACATTTCAACTGGGGTCGTCAATGCCACCATTCTTGGGGTAGTATACTCTGATAACAAACTTGGGATTTATCACGTCGACAAGGTGCTTCTTCCTCTAGATTTCTTTGCAACCAGTAAGGCTCCAGCTTTGGCTCCTTCATCTCTTGCAAAGGCTCCCAAAGCTGCCAAGGAAAATTCTTCTGAGGATGATCAAGGCGAAACAAAGCAGGATCAGAATAAATCTGGGGCAGTGAGTTTGGTCGGCCATGGTGGAACAAAGTTTATGTCACTTGGCATAGCTTTGATGGCAGTGGCAACCATGTGGGGTTAATCCATTTCGCAGCTGCACTGCCATTTTTATACGTCAAACACATAGTTAATTTATTTCTCTTTGCTTTTTCATTAAAACTTTGCTGTCTTTTTCTGGTTTCTCGTGTATTGGTGTAATGGAAAGGGCAAGAATCCTTCAATTGTTCACATTTCAGCTGTTGCTGTTAAACCATAATCATTCCTAAATTTTTCGTTATGCATCAAATTACTACACTCTTACCTTGTTCAGATTAAGAAAAGAATGAACAGCAAAAGAACTACTCTTTATCTTTGTGCAAATGTGTAGGCGTATAAAGAAACTAGTGGAAATAATCATTCTATCTTTTATTAACTAATGTATTGTTTTAAACAGATTAATTGCGAACTTTCCATATTAGAAAGTCATTGGAGAACCTAAACTGTGGTTATTCATGTACCCTTAAGAAATGTTGGTCATTTGGTCTTGGCGCCTCTTCGGATTTTTGATATTTCTAGTTTTCTTCTTTCTATTCCTTTGTTATTTGATGTTTATAATGTAACTTTCCTTATAGTTTTTAGGCCTTCAGACCATCCCTTTCAGAAACAAAATAAACATAACAAAAGATTAGATTCTCTTAAATTAAAATTTGTACTGAGTTTGGTGTCTAAGATCACAATTGAAAAGGTAAATTATGTATCATATGTAAATATTCCTTGCTTAATTCATATTTGAAAGAAAAAGAAATAAACTTTCTTGGGTTAAGACTCACAAAGTGAGAGAAGCAATAACATCTATTATATTTAACATGAGTGCATCTACACCTAAATAGGAGAACTTTATATCAGAAGAATGTGATATCTCCCTTTTGTGTGAAACAAAATTGTAATAAATATCTTTATATTATTGGAAAACAGGGTGAAAGAACAAACTTTTAAACTTGGAATTTCAAGCTTGATTTTATCTTTGAAGTACGAACCGAATCTTGAAAAGTTTGAGTAAAGAAAACAAAATTAAAACCTCCTTGAAGTATTTTCATCAACATGCATCAGAAACAATTTTTTTGGTAATATGGTAAAAAGAAAAAACTATCTTCTGCAAACCAATTATAGAAGTGCAAAATCCCAAAAGAGTTACATGAATTTTTTTTGTACAATTCAAGAATAGATTTGTATCGTTAACTTCTGTCTCATTCTTGTAACTAAATGTCATCTTATGAATATACAAAACAATTGCAACAGCTCCTTGCTGTTTTCCCAGTTTTCCTCTGCACAATTCCGAGTTCGCTTTCTCCAACTACATTGTTTTTACAAAAGATGCCATAACTTGTGCATCACAATAGCTATTTCTTTCACCCTATTTTCATTGCAAAAAATTGCTCTGTTTGATAACAGAGGTTCCAGCAGAAAAACTAAAATTGATTGTGATGGGAGATCAGTGTGGCCTTCAATCATGAAAAAACAACGCTCCATCCATATATCATTTTTGATGCAACACCTCAATATCATTGCCAGCTACCAAGAGTGTATGCTCAAAAATCACAATTTAAGGTTTTAAAACAAACTCTCTCACCTACCTATCATTGTCTCCCACTCCCAAACATTCTCTATAAAAACCACCTCCACCATATCAACAATGCATCAACAGCTCATTGCAATTACAATTCCTATCATCTGTACTCCTTTCCAACTTCATTCAAACCTTCATTGAACGAAACCAAAATGATGAAAGAACAATATGTCGTGTCCTTCTCACTAGCAATTCTACTTTCATTTCTGTATTCCACTACCACTTTAGCCCAATTATCACCAGCTTCTGCCCCTCTTAAACCAGTTCAACCTACTCCTACTCCACCAGCTGAGGCTCCTAAACAGCCATTGGTTCCCTCATTGCCACAGTCACCAAGTGATGCCACTCCCGACACTCCAGCTGTTGACATTGTTGGAATCCTGAGGCACAGGCTAAGTCATTCAACATCCTTAT